GTTTCAGAAAGGCGGGGCATAGAGGAGAAACAATAATGTACAGTATGTGGAAAATAATGTGTTTTTTTAACCTTAAGCCGCATAAACACATTTCATTACACCATATACACAAAATAATGTTATTTTTAGCAACGTCATATGACCCCTTTAAGAATCAAGGGTATGTAAGCTTCTGAATGCTGTCATTTTTATAAATGCAACTATTATTTTCTCTTGTGGACTATATGTAAGCATCTTTTATGTGAAATATCTTATTCAGGTCAGTAGTAAATAAACAATAACATGCATTTTGTATGATCCCCCTTATTTTGGTCAAATAAAATATTAACATATATATATATATATATATATATATATATATAAAACTACTAATATTATCAAGAAAAATGCTGAATTTCATCAGTTGTGGCATTGCTTGCCAACCATAAGCAACCTACACTTACGCCTTGTTTACACTGGATGGGTGGTTGGGTGGGTGGATGGTTAGATAGGTAGGTTCATGGATGAATGGATTGATATGGACAGATAGGTGGAATGGCTTGCTCTCTCTTTTATTAACCATTATTCATTTATAAGCTCAATATAATTTTCCAGTAAGTTTTGTACATTGACATTGACCCTGAGTCACACAAATTCAAGCTGCTTCAGGCAGTTCTTGCACAACCTTATTCTCAGGCAGTTTTGTGCTTTAAACAAGAAAACAGATACAAGACCCTTCTGCAATCTGATCTGACTGACTGTGTTTCTGCAGCACACATGAATACTATTCATCATTGTTCATGCTTCATCTCTGATACCTCAGGTGCATGAGCCTGTCCTCTTTATCACTTCAAACACTGTTTTTTCTCTACACTCAAAACTTGGTAAAAGAAATCTAATTATATGATGATGTTGCTTCTCAGATCTACTTTTAACTGCTATAAATCACATTATGTCCAGTCATCTGTAAACAACCACCATTCTGAATTATTAATTGATAATGAGCGTAGATAAAACTATTTGTTAGGATTATGAATATCATAAGAGACACAAACATCATGTTTTGATGTCAGGAGTTTATTACTGTGTTTTCTAGGCTGCACTTTATTAATATTCCTTAGGCATTCTGCTTAATGCTCTGTTCTTAACACCAAACCCAAAGTATTAAATTTATGCAATTTAATTCAGATGAAATCCATTCAAATATTTTCTTGACTATTTCAGTCTTTTGCATTCTTATGTGATTACGTGATTGCAGTGTGGTAATGGTAATGTGGTAACGTTTATGGCATTTTTTTGTAGTTGTCCATTAAGTTTCTAAATTGACAAAGTTCTAGATGGACTAAATTTATATACTACTTGTGCGAGACTTAATTTTCTTGACAAAGTTTGAGAGCAAAATACAATATTATCAAGAAAAATACTGAATATCAACAACTGTTTTCAACATTGATGATAAAAAGACATGTTTCTTTAGCAGCAAATCAGCATATTAGGATGATTCTGAAGGATCATGTGTCACTGAAGACTGCAGTAATGATGCTGAAAATTCAGCTTTGCATCACAGGAGTAAATTATATTTAAAAAAATATATAAAAAAATATTTTAAATTATAATCATATTTTTAAAACATTTCAAAAGATTGTGGTATATATACCCACACACACCCACCACAATCTTTTTTATTTTTTCTTCTATTTTTAGCTATACTGCTTAGTTCAAACGAGGCATCAGCATAAAGATTCAGCAGTGACACATGAGATTCTAGATCATTCTGATCTCACATTCTGAGCATTATGTGATTGTCTGCTTAATGCTTATGAGAAAGGCTTTCTTATCACAGTTTTGCACATTTAACAGACAGCTACTCTGCAATATTCTACAGTGCAGTCTTACTGTATGTTTCTAGATGTCTTTTGTCTGTGTATCCCTGTATTGTTGTAGTACACTCACTGGAGCTTGTGTAAAGCTTCATTACCACTGCACACACAGCTGGGCTGACGGGCATAAACAAAGCCAACCTGACAGAACTGAACTTTACGTTGAGTTTAGCGCTCTGGGCTTCAAGCATGAACCAGTCGCTATATTCCTACAGCTGTGATTCATAACTGTCTGAACACACTTCTGAGTCTAATCCACTACTAGTGTCTCTACTCTCAGTAAAAGTGGAAAAAGACCAAAAACAAGATTTTATAGCATGCTTTTATATAGTAGTATCAAAAAAATAAAATAAAACAATAAACAAAACAAGAATGCATTTAGTTGAGTGTCTCTTACCTGTGGGTGTAGGCAGACTTGGCGTCTCCCCCAGTACCAAGCGAACTCTCTTAGCGTGTGTTTTGCCCTGGTAGTGTGACTGAGCCACAATGGCAGATGTGAAGAACATGTTGCAGAGCGTACAGCATTTGTTTCTGTCGACCTCATTCTCTGCACTGTCCTAAAAAAGATAGAAAAACAGGACATATAGTACGTGCATAGTTTTCCTCTGAGGTGGAAAATGCGTTAACGTATTTGATGCATTTGCGAAAAAATATCACAAATGTATGTTACATTGAAAGGTTTTGGTTACTGATGGTTTAAGGTAATGAATAATGAGTTTATTTTCTAAAAGTTCAATCTACATAAGTTTCTCTTGCATAAATGATTAAACCATTTGTAGTTAACTCCATTTAATAGGTACAGTCTCGTGTGTGTATTAAAAAATTATTTAAAAATGTGTGTATATTAAATAATTATTATATAAATTTTGTAGGGTATCGGCGTGAATCAGACAATTTAAGATTCAATCAGATTGGTGTTGGAACAACCAAAGAGCCACATTCCACAAAGAAGCCCAGGATAACAAGACAACGTCATAAATCTGTCCACGATACCCTAGCGCCAGCCAGCCTGAAGTAAACCTAACCAACCAACTCCACAGTTCGAACAGCTTGCAACATTAGCACAAAAGAACACTTATTGATAATCCCAACTCAGGAAGGATATTGTCCATTTTGGAGCAAGTAACCAAGATTAAGGGTCGAAGAGATGCACAGCATGACCATCACATGTAAATCCGTGATAGAAATCACGAGCTAAAGACTTCCTCGGATTGGTTTCCCCCACCCAGGACAAAGACCAGGCTCCTTCTAGACCTTTTGACCTTTTGTTCCTTACAAAGCACATCCTCACGTTCACAGAACGCCAGAGAGACTGTCTTTTACAGATGCAGATGCACCAAAATGATCTCAAAAGGACTTATAAATGAATATCAGTCGATTGCTTAACTCCATATCATGTATGTAACCCACACATTTGACTATTATGTTCTAATCACTCATTGTGTCTGTATTTTGAATAACTATTGAATAGTTTATAGGATTATATTCATGTTGGGTATGTATGAGTTTGAAAATTCATGCTTTAAATGTTTCTATCAATCAATACTTTGTAAAATGATTTATATTCTTGTTATAGAAATCATGTCCAAATTATACTCTGCAAGAGCGGGAAAATTCAGACCATGTGACTGATAAGATAACATGTTGATTTATGTATTGGGGGGAGAAACATAGCAACACCCCGAGATAAGACAATATCTAATTGGTCGACACCATTTGGGATGTGTCCAACAGCCCAGTTTATAAACTCAGGACACCATCAAATTATGCTTTTTAGCTTTTTGCTTTATGTTTTAGGCATGCTTTTTGCCACTGCTTTTTGCCTGTGAATTCTTCGAGCACCGTTCCAGCATGCTCTGGCTTGAATGCCAGCAGCTCCTCTAAAACCACGAGGAGAAACGCCATCTAGTCTCGTCAAACTTTACTCTTTTCTTTCTTTTACTTTAGTTTATTGTATTTTCCATTGAGAGTTTCATGTTCTGAGTTAAGTTTTGCCACAATGCCGTGTCTCTTTTGGCTTTATGCGTTTAGCCATGCTTTTTGCCGCCACTTTTTGCTCTCAGCCATGCCTTTTTGCCACTGCTTTTTGCCCGTGAATTCTTCGAGCGCCGTTCCAGCGTGCTCTGGCTTGCATGCCAGCAGCTCCTCTAAAACCATGAGGAGAAACGCCACCTAGTCTTGTCAAACTTTACTCTTTTCTTTCTTTTACTTTAATTTCTTTTCTTTTCCGTTGAGAGTTTCGTGTTCTGAGTTAAGTTTTGCCGCAACGCAGTGTCTCCGAGTTCACCTCGAGTCTGTGACCGCCTCAAAATCTTCAGCCAACACCCAACCATTGGCTTCCCAAGACGTCACTTCGAACGACAACTGGACTTCCAGCCAATCAACAAACTTGGGAAACCCCTTTCTGAAATGATGACAACAAGGGAACCCCCTAAACAAGCAACGCAAGTACCTCCAGATTCTAGCTGAACTGGTGCGTTTAATACAAATTTTAGCCTCATTGAGGAACTCAATGCGAGGGTTAATTAAATGACTGATGGTTGTTCAGGTCTAAGCAATTGCACATATTGCTATAAACTTGGGATTTCACATTTTCACTCTCTCAAACTCGTTCTTTCCTCACTTTCTCTCTTTCTGCAAATTGTGTGAATGCGTGTGTTCATGTGTTAGATTAGTTTATATGTTTTAGATTTATCTAATAAAGCCTTATTTGTATTGAAAAGAGAAGTATCTTGTGTTTTGTGCTTACAAGTTAATGTCTTAAACTGCCGATCTTGTTACTGTGCTAATAAATAGTGTTTTCACTATACTTTGG